CACATCCAGGGGTTAATTACTCTAAACCACATTTACAGAATGCTATAAACTTAAAGGAGGGCATTTCTGCCTAATGCAATACACAATATATGAATGACTCAATTTGATTTCAATGACATTTCATTTATTTACATAATTTGCCTCCAGCAACTAATGGAACAAATAAAATCAACTGCTATGCAGTCTTTTCAATATAAAATAAAACAAAATCAAAACTAACAGCCAATTTTTATTGCCTCACCACACAAATGACATGTATGCATGACAAGACTTCTAACAACATTATTTTTTTACAAATCAATATACACAATATACCTCTACTATGCACAGAGGAAGTATAGCACCATCTTCTGAGTATAATCAAAAGCTTTCATGATAATAACACTAACACCTCAGGTAAATCTATTGACTCAGCTATTGGCTGACATTAATGATACTTAACACCATCATTCGTGAATCCCATTATTTGGATCAGTAAGCTACATATATTTACAAGGTGCTCTCTGTGGTCCACTTTGGCCACCCTGGGCCTCAGAGGTCAGTGAAAACTTACCTCTATACTAGTACTATTCTGAATACTACACTGACAGGCTGGTATTACATTACATTACAGGGTACTAACAGTGACCTTTGAAATGGTTTGCCAACATGTCAACAAAACACAACATTTTCACCTTAATAAAATTTAATCACATCTTCTTAATTCTCTTCTCTGTTCAACTTAGGTGGCAGCTGCATATGGCTTGGGGTGTAGAAGGTCATATGGGTTTGAGCTGAAACTTACACCCACCCTGTACTAGCTACTTACAGCAGGTTACACATATTTCTCTCCTTTCAACGGCCACAAGCTTGGTGTATTGTCACTGTTTCTGGTTCACTACTGCTTATAGTGGTTATCAATTGATTTGTAAAACAACTATTCCTATTGTTTTATATAGTAGTAATATTACTAGTAAGACAAATTGAGAAATTTATGTAAAATAGGGATAATGTAATATAACAGAGACATGTATTTAAGGTTTTGCAAAAAATACCAATATCACTGGTCTTAAACTTAAATGTCTACTATTGTAAAATATACATATATTAGAGATGATCCTTTAAAAGGATTCTCAGCTGTCCTAATAATCTTTATTGATATAGTGATCAAATACAGTTAAAGAAAAACCAAATGTTTTTCTTCAATCAAAGAAACAATCAACAACCATACATGTATCAGTAAGTCATATGTGACACTAGTATCCTGCAGCCAAGCCTGTGTCACCTGTGTTACTCCTGCTTCAAACCACTGTAGGTAACAGATTTAAGTTATTGTCAAAAAAAAATCCTGACTGACTGTAATCATTATGCACTTTACGTTAAACCTATAACATCTGGAAAGAAAAAACTGTTCTCCCTTCCTTTGGGAAAATGATTAAAAGGTTTCTCTACATGCTAAACCATTTATGGCTTTAGAGATTATCAGCATAAGAGACTCCTTTTACAATCATTATCACCTGTGATAGCTGATATGTATGAAAATGAAAATAAGTTTACTGAAAACTAAATGTATGTTTCAGTCATATTTATTGTACTGACTGGGTCTCTATTCTACTTTAACTTTAAAACATCCTGTTGTTACATATGTTACTAAGAGAATTACTAGGCATAAAACATTTGATCAATTAAAAAAACAGTGATGCATTAAAACAGTGACAATATGGCTAGAGTCACAGACTGGAAAGCGACCACCCCCCACCCCCCCAGGGGAGAACCAAACCACCCCTCCTTACTGGGGTCAACCTTCTAATCAAAATAAAATGAAGAAAGTCAAGTTTCTTGTTTGCCTCAACCTACCTACTGTCATGTAAATATTCTAGAAATGTACAGTTTAACCACACACACACACAAGTAGAAAAATACCCTAAGAACAAAGACCTCCAACAAGGCAGTTCATTTATTATTGATAAGATTTTTAATGGATCATCACCAAAATCTAATGATTCTTAGTTAGCCCTATTTTGAGATTTATATCAAAATTCACTCATTACTTTCTGAGTTGGGTTAACTGACAACTGGAAAAGGCAAAAACATGACCTCTTTAGCGGTTAGGAGACTTCCTTACATGTCTTACATCAGTCTACTTGACATTATTACATGACCACATTGCATATGTACAAATATCCTCTCTAAAAACCTTGCTGACCCATATCATACAAACTGGACATCAAGGGTCAGTTTCATGATAGAAAAAACTTGGTTTTAATCCGAAATTCAAGATTGATCACAAAAAGTAATTGATATATAGTGAACAACTACTCTCCCCTATCCTCATCTGAAAAAAGCACTTGCTGCTGGAGGAGTGGGATTACATAAGGTGTGACAGCACATCAAAAGCTACCAGATTGAGAATGCTATTACACATACTTGGACACTACAGACATAGGCCTTACTATAAATCACTATGAGAATTCCTCCCTTTTATGGCACTGATGGCTGAAAATCAGGCAATTTTAGGAACTTTCTGTTTCAGAAATTATAAATGGAAAACTTATTTAACATCTATCTAGATATACAAATATATGGTACTTCACCATATACAGTAACATTCAGTGTGCAACATTGATCAGTTATCTCTTATTTATAGGTCCTTTTCACATCAAGTGGTATATAGTCTATGTACCAATACACTTTGAGAGTTCCTACCTTGTTTTTATGCCACAGGGTTTTTTTTTTAACTTCCTTGTACGAATTTTCCACAAATGCACAACCTGCTGTTAAGTTAATTAACTGGCCATATTGATGCAGGAGCTTTGTTCAAGTGAATCGCTTACATACAACCAGGCTATTAAGTAGTCAATCTCTCAGAGTGTACCAATACAGACTGTACGCCCCTCAATGTGAAAACAACCTCACTTTGAGTACAACAGGCTCAATATCTTCATTTAAACAGACTACCAACGTTTTATCTAGCATTAAAGTAGACTAATATTTTCAGCCTTAAACTGAGACAAATCTCTGACTAAATTTGTTTTGTGAAACAGGATCAGTTAGTCCACTTCCAGTTCTGTGTTGACCCAGTTATGAAAAGAGCCTAAAAGAAGAGTTGCATGTTCTCGAGTAAAACCTACCCTTCAAATATAGTGGTAAAATACCCTACCTAAACAAAATTTACCTGGGCTGATACATGAAATTTGTATATTAAACTGCATGCCCCCCCCCCACACACACACACACACACACACG